GAAAAGTCACGATGCATTTTTGCATAGAAAAATACATCGTGACTTTTCTGGCAACCCAATAATTCTTGATGACTTAGGATTCACTGTACTTTGCATTTGATTTGTTCCTTCTCAACACTTTTCTTTTTTCCTTTTCCACTTCTTTTAAGCTATGTGAATACGTTTAGTATTGCATTTTAATTTATGTGTTGTGTTTTTTTTATTGCATCTCTTTATATAATTTTTTAGTGGTTTTTATTGGGATTATAAAATACTTTCTGTTTCATAGTCTACTTTTTATAGTCTACTATAGCCAATATTTTACCACTTCAATTGGAATATAGAAATCTTACCACCTTATATACTCCGTTGCCACCCCCTTTATAGTTTAATAGGTCCTCAGGAAAGTCATGATGTATTTTTCTGTTTTTTCTTTTTTTTCATGTAAAATTGCATCATGACTTTCTCAACAACCCAATGGGTGTCTTATATATTGCATCTACGTACATTAAAACACCCCATCAGTGGAGCAACAGAGATGGTGTAGCAGTTACATTGGTGGACTCTCACTTAGCCACCAGCAGTTCAAGTCCCAGACCCGGTGGCTTGAAACATGCCCAGAGCATGTGTGTGTGTGTGTGTGTGTGTGTGTGCCCAAGATCCTCTGGAAGGAGGGAGATGGGAGGAGAAGGGATTGCAGCCTGGCCATCCTCCCTGGGGGAATGATTTCTCACTCTCCTGGTCTCTGTCTGTCTCTTTCTGGTGAGAATATGTGGCCAACCCAAAAAAAAAAAAAAAAAAAAAAAAGAGTTTTTTTTTGTTTGTTTGTTTTTTGAGAGGTTTTCGCTACAGGGCGTGTGCACTCGCCAGAAAGACACAGACAGAAAGCAAGAAATCACCCCCCGGGGGGATGGCCACACTGCAATCCCTTCTCCTCCATTCTCCTCTCGGGATCTTGGGCACACATGCACACGCGCCCTGTGTGAGTTTAAGCCACCAGGTCCGGGACTCGAACTGCGGTTGACTACATGGGAGTCCAGCGACATAGCCATTATGCTAACTGCTGGTCTCAAAAAATAACTCTTAAAAAAAAACCATCAGATAATTATTTTCAGATTTTTTTACCATCAAACATTTGTAAAGAAATAGGATATCCAGTTACATTTACCGTTTTTGTTGTATTTCCTTCATTCCTAATGTTCCAAATTTTTTCTGGTATTTCTTTTCCTCTGAAGAACTTCCTTTTGCAGGAACCAGCAGGTAGCGTAATGGCTATGTCACTGGACTCCCACGTAGTCGACCGCGGTTCACGTCCCGGACCCGGTGGCTTAAAACTTACACCGGGCGTGTGTGCGTGCGTGCCCAAGATCCCGAGAGGAGAATGGAGGAGAAGGGATTGTGGCATGGCCATCCCCCCGGGGGGTGATTTCTCGCTTTCTGTCTCTATGTCTCTCTCTGTCTGTCTGGCGAGTGCACGCGCCCTATAGCGAAAATCTCTCCAAAAAAAAGAACTTCCTTTTGCAATTCTTTCAGAGCAGTTCTGCTTCTACTAGTTTTTCTTCATCTGAAAATGGTCTTTTTCCACATCATTCCTCTAAGATATTTTGATACCATATCATCCATAAGTGATATTGTCTAGGTTGTATTCTAAACACGGAAATCTAGTTTGATAGTTTATTCCTTCTAGCATTTTTAAAAGTGTTCTGCCACTCTCTTCTGGCCTCTGGTCTGATGAGAAATCCACAGTAATTCAAGTTATTGTTACTCTATAGGCAATACATCGTTTTGTCCTTCCTATGTTTAAGATTCCTTCTTTGTCTTCAGCAAATCTGAGTATGATATGTGGGTGTATACATGGTTGTGGGATTGTATGTGGATTTCTTGGGGTTTATCTTGTTTAGGATTTACTCACCTTCTTGACTCTTCAGATTTATTTCTTTCATTACACATGACTCCTTCAAATACCTTTCATCCATTCATCTGTCTTCTCATTCCGAAACTCCAATGACGCACACCTTTTGTGACTGTCTCACAGGTCCTTGGGGGCACTGTTCATTTGTGTTTTCAATCTTTTTTTCTCTTTGTTGCTCAGATTGGATAATTTCTATTGATCTATTTTAAAGTTCACTGGTTCTTTCATCTTACAGTCTCTATTCTGCTACTGAGTCCATCCAGCAAGGACTTTTAAAATTTTGGTTATTATATTTTTAGTTCTAAAGTTTCTATTTTCTTCTCCTTTATTTTATTGCTGATACAGTGTCTTAAATGTCTATTCCAAAAGTGTTAGTAATTGCTTTTAGAATTTTTGTAATGCTTTTTTTTTTTGGAGAGGTTTTTGCTACAGGGCGCGTGCGCTTGCCAGATAGACAGAGAGAGACATAGAGACAGAAAGCGAGAAATCACCCCCCAGGGGGGATGGTCACACCGCAATCCCTTCTCCTCCATTCTCCTCTCGGGATCTTGGGCATGCACGCACACACGCCCGGCGTGAGTTTTAAGCCACTGGGTCCGGGAGTCCAGCGACATAGCTATTACGCTAACTGCTGGTTCCCAAGAATTTTTGTAATGCTTTGAAGTCTTTGTCAGGTAACTCCAACGTAAGTGTCATCATACTTACTGCTTTTGTTGATGGTCTTTTCTCATGTGAGTTCACAGATTCATGGTTGGCTGTTCTATTAAGATTGAATTTTGTCTGGGTCATTTTGAATTTTACATTGAGATTCTGTCTCGGTGAAAACCTACTGAAAATATTGGTATTTTTGCTTCAGCGAGCAATTACGCACACAAGGTTTAGACCGGGTTGGAGCTGTAATTTCGGTGTCAAACCAGTTCATGTTTTGCAGCGCGATGCAGAGCTACCTGGTGGAGTGGGCAGTCTGGGATGTGGGCAGAGACGTATCAGTTTGCTCAGTTCTCCAAGTCTGGTTTGCTGTTAGGATCAGTCCCATGCATGCATAGATTGGGGAGAGCCCAGGCATTCCTAAGAGTTATGAGGTTGCTTTTGTGAGCTTTTCTTGATTCATCATCTCCCTAGTACTTTCTGGCTCCCTGGTCTCTCATTTTCTGTCTGGCCAGAAACTGCCCACTTCCACAGTTAGGCCACGTCCAGGCCAGACGCTAAGAGAACAGAGAGAGCGCCACCCTGTTGCTAGCTGCTGTTGCTACTGCTGCTACAGCACAGCCTGGGGCCTGGGCAACAGCATCAGGAGCAAGGAAGACTTGGGGGAGGCTCTCTACTCTAGCTCTGGGCAGTTCTCTTCAGTCTTCACACTGCTTTTCTTGGGACCAGCAGGTGGCGCTGTGGTTATGTTGCTGGTGGAGTCCCAAACCTGGAGGCTTAAAACTCACACCAGACACGTATGCATGCATGCCCCAAATCCTGAGAGAGTGGAGAAGGGATTGTGGTGTGGCTATCTCCCTGGGGGATGATTTCTTTTCTCTCTCTCTTCTCTCTCTCTCTCTCTGTTTTTCCTGTCTTTCTGGTGAGTCCATGCACCCTATAGCAAAAATCTCTCTTAAAAAAAAAAAAAAAAAAAGAACAAAAACAACAAACCTGGGTTTGTCTGAAGCTGTCCTTGTCCCATAATGCTCACATCGGGACTTTGGGTTTGTTGAGCTCAGGCTGCCCCATGCCAGAGGCACCGAAGTGGTCAGTGCCCCACTAGTGGGCCAGTGCTTTGAATTCAGTGCCCCCCCCACCACCACCACCATGTTCCTGTTGCCACACACTTGTCAGTGTTGTCAAGTAACCGTGCTGTGCATTCTGGCTCAGGCTTGAAAACTACAGTCAGAGGGAGAGGAAGGGAGGCGTGTTTTCTCTCTTACCCAGAATTAGATCCTTGGACGAATTTAATTTTATAATTTTATTTTCTAATTAACTTATTCTCATACACTAGACAGTGGCTGCTGTTCTTTTCTATTTTTAAAGGATTATTTAACTTTATTTATTTTATTTGCTTATTTATTTTTTAATTTGGCGAGAGAGACAGGGAGAGAGAGAGAGAGAAAGTGAGAAAGCAAGCCACCAGGTTTGGGACTCGAACTGTGGTTGCCCAGTGGGAGTCCAGCGCCCTTAACCACCACGCCACCTGCCAGCCCCAATGGCTGCTGTTCTTAAGAAGGTTCAGTTGGGACCAGCAGATGGCATAATGGCTGTGTTGCTAGACTCCCATGTAGTCAACCGCGGTTCAAGTCCTGGACCCGGTGGCTTAAACTCACACCGGGCGCGTGTGCGTGCGTGTCCAAGATTCCGAGAGGAGAATGGAGGAGAAGGGATTGCGGCGTGGCCATCCCCCATGGGGGGTGATTTCTCGCTTTCTGTCTCTCTGTCTCTGTCTCTGTCTTTCTGGTGAGCCCACGCCCTATAGTAAAAACCTCTCAAAAAAAAAAAAAAAAACACAGAAAAAAAAGAAAACACACAGGAAACCACAGAGCCTTCTGAGATGTGAAGTGAAGTGTTTATTATACAGTGTTCAAACTTATAAAGTGAATTAGCCAAAGGTTTATTACTCTGCCTCACCGGATGTCTTCCTTTTCTGGAGGGACAGAATTTTGAGGTCCCAGGTACCCCAGCTGGGTCCATCCTCATCCCAACCCCTTTCCTGCTCCCAGACTGAGGTGATGAGCCTGGGCACTTCCTGTGGGCTGCTGTTCATGCTCTGGTCCCGGGCTCCCTAGCTCCTCAGGCCCCCAGATCCAAGGTCCTGGCCACATGAGAAACCATGTTGGGCCCAGCACCTGAGGACAGGTTTCCAGGTACCAACCCTGCCTGCTGGGCCCAGCACAGGTGCTGTCGTTTTGGCTTGGCTGAAAAGTTTGGGCTTTTAGACACAAACCCTCCACAAGAGGCACCCCCTACAATGGCCATCCCAAGCCCAAGCGACTCCCTGTGCCCACCCCAAGGGTCCCCAGTTCCCAGGAGGCTGTGGTGCGATGCGGGCCTGACAATCGGGTGCCCCTCCTGGGGGGTACAGGTCAGGGAGGGCCGGCTGACCACGCCCTTCTCTTCTGTTCACTTGCAGGTCACCTCCAACGGGAAGCACCTAGACAGCCTCAAGAATGCAGAGGGCCTCCTGCGGGCTATGGAGGGGCTGGCCCCAGGCAGTGGGTAAGTGGGGCCCAGGGAGAGCAGCGCAGAGCCCGCTCAGGGGTAGCGGACACTCGCCATTCCCTTTTGCCCCTATTCCACCACGTACCAGGGCCCACCACCTTCCAGCGTGTTGAGATCGCTCGCCCTGTGGGCAGGAATACTCCGGCCTCCATCCCCTGGGAAATGGGGGTAGGAATCAACCCGTGGAGGGACCAGCAGTTAGCGTAATGGCTATGTCGCTGAACTCCCATGTGGTCGACCGCGGTTTGAGTCCCGGACCCAGTGGCTTAGACTCATGTGTGTGTGCGTGCCCAAGATCCCGAGAGGAGAATGGAGGAAAAGGGATTGCGGCATGGCCATCCCCCCTGGGGGGTGATTTCTCGCTTTCTGTCTCTCTGTCTTTCTGGCGAGCACATGCGACCTATAGTAAAAACTTCTCCAAAAAAAAAAAAAAAAAAGAATTTGATGACCATTTATAAATAAAAGTTCTTAATCAAAAGCCAAAGAGGGCACAAGAGCATTTGAGTATTGTCTGTAACTGCAGATGCCTTTTCAAGAATCGTCTTTGTAAGTAATGTCACGCAGAGGGAGCCTCGTCCACTCGCCGAGGCTTAGAATTTATTGACGACTTGCTAAGGCTTTGGGCCAGCGAGTAACATTTCAGCACCACCTACTCGAGGTTCTAAGAATCAAGCGTCTCCAAAGAGGCTTTCGTTAGTTCGCTCAGGACCAACTCAATATCTCCTGACACAGATAGTTTCAAATCAGGGATTTTTTAGTGAATCTTCTAATAACTTCAAGCAAAGGAGAAATCAGGTTGCTTTCATCTAACTCATAAAAATCCCACTGATTGTCAGATACACGTAAAAGGAAGTGATCAGTGAAACTGACTTTGACAAATACGAAACCTTGTTAAATAGCCTGTGTGAGAAGGATCACCTGTCTATTTCCATGGGACATTTCTCCCACTTGATGTGTGAGTCTGTTCAGGTACAACACACACACACAAAGGCAATTCTCAGTGTTTTTTAAAGTAGGGTAAATAGAAAATCTGTACAGTTCTTTTTTTTTTTTTTTGAAATTATTTTGTCTATCTTCCTTTCTTCTTTCTCTCTTTCTTTCTCTGTCTCTCTTTCTTTCTTTAAATTTGATCAGAGGGACAGAGTGTGAGAGAGAAAAAAAGAGAGAGAGAGAAAAAGAGAGAGAGAGAGAGAGAAAGTGAGAAAGCAAGTTGCCAGGTCCAGGACTCAAAGTGCAGTTGGCCATGTGGGAGTCCAGTGCCCTTAATCACCATGCCACCTCCTGCCCCACCCCCCCTTGTTTTTTAAAAGATTGCGTTATTCCAGACATTGTTATTATGAAAAAAGGAAAGAAAAGAAAGGGAATCAACCCATGGAAAGAGGGAGGTCTTAGCCCTGCTCGGGGAAGCAGTATTCCTCCTCAGGGCATCTGTGGAGGCTCCGGGCATGAGGACTAGCTGGGAGGCGCAGAGCTAAGGAACGTGGCACACGTGCCTCACCAGCCCGCCTGGAGGCACAGAATCCTCCACCACCCAGTGAAGGACCCCTGGCCCAGCAGGACTGGCAGAACTGACAGCTCAGCGTACTGCACTGCACCAGGCCCCTCCTCAGCCGCCCCTCAGGGAGGACACGTTGCACACACAGAGTGAGCGTCTGGCACCAGGAGCTGACCATGTGGGCTGACCAGCCCCCCAGGCCTCACCTGTGCAGTCAGCGTGTCTAGAATACCCTAGAACTGAGGTCAGGTCCCAGGTCAGGGGTAGGCCTGTCACCCAGCAGTGTCACACACTGCGAGGGCAGGACCTGGCATCTCAGCTGGCCCCACAGTGACACCGGTGCTCAGTGGCAGAGTGAGAGCTGGAGTGGAGTCCCTGGGAGGGTCCGTCTCACAGTGACATGTACCGCTCGTCCTCTGGACCTGAGAGGTGCCGGCGGGTGCTGGGATGGGCTTACCGAACTCACAGTCTTACCAAAGTGGCAGTGCCCAGTGTCTGAAGAGAAAGCGCGTGCAGGGCAGAGAAGCTTGCTCCAGGTGCGCATCCTCGGCTCAGCTGCTGTCAACGGCTCACCGGGTAGGACCACACTAAGCCGAGCCGTGGCAGGGCAGTGAACGCAGGCCGGGGCACTGCCTTCCTCCAGCCGCTGTCCCCAGAGCTGAGGGAGGGACCAGAGTTTGGGCCACAGGGTCCCAGTCCCAGCTGCCCTCTCCGTGTGGGGAGAAGCCCCCATTTTCAAGGGCTGCTGGACTCACAGAATGTGGATTCGAGACATGGAACAGTGTCTGGCCTTTCCTGGTAGTTTCTGGAACCCCACGGTCTGTGAAGTGTTTCCTGGAGCGTTTCGGGTTTGGTATTAATTTGAGGCAGCGCTAGGGTGAGTCTGCGGAGAAGGCTCAGCTCCAGGGAGCCCCTCCAGATCACCCTGGAGGTGGGGAGATGTCACCTCTCGGCCCACGTCCCCCCTTTCTTCTCATTGGCTATACTCGAAAGGTAGGCTCTCTGTGGCTTTCTGCGAAGTGAGGAGTAGGCTGACTGGTGTGAGAGGCGTCTGCTCGCTTTGCTGGGCCCTGGAGTGGAAGGCAGTGACTCCCTGGGCTGGGCTGTGGCCTTCTGCCAGACTGGTCTGCGAGGACCATGTGGCATCTATCCCAAGGGATCCTGGCCTTGTGCAAAATGCCATGAAGCCACCACGGGCAGATCTGTGCTGAGGACATGGGGAGAACCATGGAGGAGAGCCCCCCTCCTCGATGCCTGCCTCGGTGGGGCTCCTGGTCTGGCAGGGGCCTCCGCCGGCCTTCAGGCTGGAGCTGTCACACCCTCGTGCTGGGCCATTTTGGAAGACCCGGAGCAAGTCTGTCCCAAACATGTCCATGTTCTGTGAGGTGGGTGGCCTCACACCAGGAGGATCTTCTGGGCAGGGAGGTTGCTCCTGTGAAGTGATCACATTCGGGCTTCGTTCAGACGGCCCAACCAGAAGGGGTTTTCTTGCGCCAACCAAGAATGCGTGGTGGGCAGTTCTCAGCTCTGATGCTGGGGCCTCCTGGCCACCCCCCTGGGGCTCCTCTGGCGGATGGCGTAAGCAGCGTGCCCCACCAGACTAGCCTGGGCTCAGCCCAGAGCAGGCCAGATTAACAGGCATTCCCACCATCCTTCAGGGCCTGAGAAGTGACCCTTGGTGGGTGTGCAGGGCGGGAATGCACGGCCCTACCCCCCAGCCGCAGCCCTGTCCCACTGCCACCCAGTGCCTTCCGTGCAGCGCCCTACACCCCCTCCCTGTCACTTTTTGGGTAACAGCTCTATTTCTGGGCAGCCAGAGTGCCACGAGCTCATTTTCCACTTCAAGGGCCATTGCCACGTGAGCTCCATTCTGTTCTCAGCTAACAGTTGTTACAGCCCGGGTTTAAGTGTGTGTCAAACAATTTGCTCTGGTAACAAAGTTTCCATTTTAAGCTCTTAATTGCACATCCACACCTATGAGTAAGAAACGCAGAGGTGCCGGCTGGTTGGCCAGGGAGTGGCAGCACCGATCAGGGAGGTCACGGGTGGTGGGTCTGGGCCACACATGTGAGCTCCAGAGAGGGGCAGGGCAGGCCCACTGCGGGCTCCAGGTCAGGCAGGACCTGGCAGAGGAGGCTCAGAGCACGAATGGCGGCCCGGACTCAGGCCTAACTCAGGGGTGCTGGCACGGCCAGTCCGGACCCCACCAGGACTGTGGGCTGAGGGTTCTCACTGCCCATCCCCAGAGCTGGTATTTTCGGAAGGAGACGGTGCACACAGGAGCGTCTTTGAGAGTGGGGGCACTTTACCCTGAGGTGCCTGCCCAGTGCGTCTCTCTGGTCTTACAGGTCACCTGCCGACAATGCGGTGGCCTCGC